CTGGAGGCCACGTCCACCCACCCCTCACCTGGCTGAGTGCACATCCTTCCTCCTGTCCTTCCACCCGCCCTCCCGGCCTCCCTCCCTGCACAGCAGGTGCTAGGACCCAGACTGCATTCTAACCCCACCCACCCTCCGGTCTCACGCACGCCTGCTCCAGGCTCCCACGGGAACTCCTACTCCGAGCCCGGCCCCAGCATGAGCGTCCCGGACGGGTGCGCCTGACTCGGCTTGTGGGGGCCCAGCACCGAGCCGCACAGAAAGCTCCCGCCAGTCTGCCCCAGTGGAGGTGCGGGCGTCAGGACACCCTCAGGGACCACAGGCAGTCACGGTGCCTTACTGAGACAGTAAGGAGCTGGGCTGGAAGGACTGCAAAGGCAGAGTAACCGCAGGGGCCCTGCTGGCGCGTGCTTACCCTTTCACTTGCACCTGGAGCTAGTTTGCAAAGGACCCCCCAGGTGAGGGGCGAGCTTCCGTCCAGCCCCCGCTGGGCAAAGTGCACAGAGCCCCCTTCCTTCCTGGGACTTCGGGGGATCCTGAGCTAGGGAGACGCGCCTTCGCCCCGAGGTCACCTTGCGGGCGGTGGGTGCGGAGGAGCCCGCTGGGGCCCGCGTCTGAACGTGCCCGGGGAGACCAGGCTGGAGACAAGAACTGCGGGAAAGCACAGGGCCGCCATTTCAGACCCTCCCGATCTCAGAACACTCCTTCAGTAGGCAAAGACAAAGCGGGGCCTTTTATCTTCCCTGTTATCACCCAAACGGAAGGCGCTAATGGGACTTTGCTCCCGTTGTCACCCACACCGAACACCTGTGAACACCACGGTCAGCACAGTGTCAGTCACCGCTCCAGGTACTGGCGGAAGGGAGCGAGTCCGCGGCGAGAGCCACTTCCGTCAACGGGCGGACACGCCGGAGGTGCAACGGGAAGTCATTTCGAATCGCCCAGACGGGTTTTGTTCATTGAGGCGAGCAGGGGGCAAACGGGGAGGCGGTGGGCATGGCCGAGCGGGTCTGTCTGCCGCGTTGGTGGCCACGACCTTCCTGGAAGGCATCTGGGCAGTGCCCACCAAAAACTGAACATGCATGCTCCCTTCCAGCCCAGAAAACTTGGCGTTCAGAATCACAGCTAACAGGAAAATTCACAGAAGGGCCCAAACACACACACACAGACACACACACACACGCATCGCTGCAAGGGGTGTTTCTAAAAAGAACAACCAGCGACCATCTAAATGCCACCAGACCAACCCTGGTACATCCTATTATGGGATGCAATGGGATAAAAAGATGACTGACATTCTGAGCTGGACAACAGCCCCCCGTGCCCCGTGGGAGCGTCGGCAGTGTCCTTGGACTAGGTGCTAGAAACACCATCACCTCCTCTTTGTGACACCCCAAAACGTCACCAGACAATGCCCCTAGGGAGCAAACAGTCCCTGGCTGAGAACCACTGGTCTTTGGGTCTGACGATGGATGACGTTAGCAATTATTTGGGGGCAGAAATAGAGAAACTGGAACAATAAAAATGTTATGAATCCATTTTTATAGCAAAAATGGAGATAAAAAGTTAAACTGTTACTAATGGCTACTTCTGGAAGAGGGGGACTATTCCCCCCTTTTCCTTTCTGTATTCCTGTATTGATTAAATCTTTTATAACAGGCATCGATAGCTTTAATTTTAAAAATCTTAATAACATACCAAAAGACTCTCACCCGTGGCCACGTGTGCGTGTGTTTGCGCGTGCGAGTTTCCGAGCGCGGGCCGACATCGGGGCACACGTATGCCCGTGTCACTCGGGAGGCGCCTCGAGCTCCTTGGAAACCAGCAGATGTTTCTCTCAATTACTGGATTTTGAGAGCTTGGTGTTTCCTGACGTGAGCCAGGACGGCGGCGGGCGGCGCCCGGGGAGGGGAAGTGAACTGGGGCTCCGTCTCCAAGCCTCTCCGACAAAAAGCGCCGCTCTGAATCGCTCTGAATCAGACGGCACAATGCGGCCGCCGTTAGCCACCTCTCAAAAGCTCCCCATTCATCCCGCGGGGCCGCCCTGACGCCGGCCGCAACGCGCACCTCCGGAGGGGGCTCGGCGCTGACCCGGCGTGCCTCTGCCTTTCGGAGCGAGAGGGCCCGCGCTCCCTGGCCTCACCCAGGGCCGAGGCTGCGGGCCAAGGACGGGCACCGAGAGCCTGGACGGGCACCCCGCATCTCGCGCCCAGGAACTGAGTTGGATTCCACAGACACTGGGAGCGGAGGGTGTCCCGTGGCCAGTGGGAGCCCTGCGGCTGGCCTGTCTGAATGCAATCCCCCAGCGCTCCCCATGGCCAAACATGTGGCAGCAGCGAATCATTCACGCTCTGTGCCTCAGTTTCCTCGTCTGTTAATGCGGAAAACCACTGGCACCCACCTCACGGGTTGCTGCGGTGGAGTGAATGCATTTCAAGTGCCACGAGCAGCACATGGCGTATGGTCAAGTGGGCGGCGAACATCAGCTGTCCCCAAGGAGGGCCACGCGCGCAGGCCCACCTCCCCGCCCTCCAGGGCCCCAGCCCCCACTCCATCACCGGCTGCCTGCCTGGCTCCCAGCCGGGGCACCCTGGCTGCCCTGCCACCAGTGCTGCCGCCCTGGCGCTGAACCTTGCCTGGGTTGGTGACCCCTGGAATGCCCCCCCTCCAGCTGCCAGCCCTCGGTGGCCGGCGTCCAGCCCCACCGACTGCCCAGCCCCTGCGGGCACTTCCTTCTCTGGCAGTTTTAAGCTCTCCCATGTGGTGGTTAATTTTGTAAATACCACCCAAGACATCTGCTGTGACTTCTAAGAAAATGCATAAGTCACGACGTAGCCTTCCGTCAGTCTGCGTCTTGCTGCCCGTTGGTCTGGCCGGTCCGTCAGATTGCGACGTTCTCGTACCTCGGCCTCTCAGAGCTGGCGCAAGCTCCAGGAGCAGGAGCCCTTCCACCGGTCTCGAGCCGGCAGACTGCTCCTCACCCCTCAGAGCCCAGCCGAGGGGAATGCCTGCACCCCCCACTCCTAGGATGCCATGCTCAGGCCACTGCCACGTGGGACTCCCGACTACGAAACCGTCTTTCCCCCGCTCCCGAACCTCAGTGGTGCTCAGGCAGCAGAGAGCCCGGCAGTTGGTCAACAGGTGATGGCCAGGCTGCCTCCTCCACTCCGGAGGGCTTGAGGTGTGGATCTGGATGCAGCACACACCTGTGCCCCAGACCTGGCCCTGCTACCCGCTGCTGTGTGACCCTGAGTGGCGGCCTCAGCAATCTGGGCTCGTTTCCCCGCCGTCAGACCCGGTGACCAAATGGTGCCTCACCCGCGCAACTGACACGAGAGTTTCATGCGGCTCACAGTGCCAGGCTCGCTGTAAACCCCACAAGTGACGGCCACCGTTGGGCTGTCCCTAACAGCAACAGTTCTCACTTACAGAAGTGGCCGTTCCCACCTGCCTTCAACCCTCTCTCTGTTCGGAGCAGAAGGAAAGGGGGACCTTTGGTTCCCCCAACTCTGGATAGTGAAGCCCTAACCGCCAGCGTGGCTGTATTTGAAGGTGGAGCCTAAGGGTGTAATCACAGTTGAAAGAGGTCACAGGGTGGCACCAAATCCAACAGGATTAGTGACCTTACAGGAAGAGACACCAGGGAGCCCATTCTCTCCCCACCCCCTCCCCGCAGGTGCACCGAGGAAAGGCCACTTGAGGAGGCAGCCAGGTGGCCTCTGTGAGCCTGGAAGCAGGCCCTCACCAGAACCCGAGTCTGCCGGTGCTTTGAACTTGACTTCCCAGCCTCCGGAACTGGGAGGATGAATGTGTGTTGTTCAGCCACATCATCTGTGGTGTTTTATTGACACTACAGCAGCCCGAGCAGTCTAAGCCCCCTTGCATAGACAGAAAGGGCTGGATGCCCCAGCACCCGGAGACAGGCCTACAGAGACCCAGCTGCACCCAGGGACAGACCAGCCCCCCGCCCTCCCTCCCCAAGCAGGGACACCTGGGCGTCCGACTGTATCTTCTAAGAAAGACATTTTCTCCTGCTAACTCTATCACTCATGCATGCATTCATTCATTCATTCCGGCAGCACATACTTATCGCGCACGTACCATGGGCCAGGCCCTGCACCTGGCGCTGGGGACACGGCCAGCGGGGGCAGCCCCCACCCCGCCCCGGAGCTGGGGCACGTCAAATCCTGCTGGTGGTCCTCTCTGTAGCAAAGCAACTAGACCAGAAACCCGAATGGACGCACTTCTGGATCACCTGGGACCTTCCCAAGCCACCTGACAACGGGGACTGTCCCACAGGTGTGTCACCCGCTCCCACGCTGCGTGCCCCACAAGACGGGGTTTCTGTCACCTCATTTAACGTCCCCGCCATGCTCCAGGAAGCACCCCAGCCCTCGCATCACCCCATTTCAGGGATAAGGAATCTGCGGCTCAGAGAAGCGCAACAATGTGTCCAAGGTCACACAGGTTTGAGCGCAGGGCCGGACTGTTCCCACGCCTGGGCCCGAAGCCTGTGCTGTGGCCACCGCTCTTGCTCGTCTCCCGTGTGGACGGCACACTCCGTGCGAAGCTGCGCCCACGAAAAGCAGCCTCCCGCGGCCCAACTCCGAGCCCGAAGCCCCTCACCTCCTCTGGCCGCTCAGGAGGGGCGGTGGAAGGCAGGGCCTGGTCCACCGGGGCCCGCGGGGCTGGAAGGCCCCTCCATGCCGACTTGCCGCCCTGGGCGGTAGCCTGGCCCCCACATTTACGTGGGACTCAGAGTCGCGGGGAAGACCTGGCCGCCGCCGGGCAGCCCTGGCCGCGAGTCTGTTCCACAGTTCTGCGCAGGAGGGTCTGGGAACCTCCAGTCCCCGGACAGACGGGACAGACCGCAGGGCAGCTTGGACAGACGGGACAGACCGCAGGGCAGCCCGGACAGACCGCAGGGCAGCCCGGACAGACCGCAGGGCAGCGGCCCGCAGGGGCGGGCGGGGGAGCTCAGGTGGGAGGGGCAACCTCACCCCTGCAGGGGGCGGAGCGGCCAGGCGAGTGCAAGTCTTTTGGAGGGCTCTGCGTGTGGCACCTGTGTCCTCCCCTCTCGGGGCGCCTGTCCGTCTGTCTGTCTGTCTCCCGTGTGATTGTCTGGGGTCTAAATCTGTCGAGTCTCTCCCTGTGCCTCCATCTGCACGAGTCTCTTCCTCTTTCTTTTTCAGGCAACAGGCAAACAGATTCCAAGAAGGAAGTTGCAAGCCTCCCAGACGCCAGCCGCCTCTCCTGTCCCCACCCCACGGGTGAGGCTGTTCTGGCCCCTGGTTTCACTTCCTTTCCAAACAGCGTCTTCCAGAAGCAGAAAATCCCGGTGACAAGGAGACCGAGGTTCTGACCAACTGTTCTACGGAGGAGGCAGGGGAGGCTGCCGGAGCCTTTTCTCCAAGCTCTGGCTGGGGACCCAGCGAAGCTGTGGGAGGCGGGCGGCTCTGAATTCAAATCCAGACGCGGCCACTTCCCGTATGAGTGACCCTGGGGGTCACGCGGGCCCTGGCCACAGCCTCCCCGTGGTAAAGCGTGGACCACCAACAGCATCGACCCCACAGAATCGCCAAAGGTTGGACTGAGCGGGTATATATGGGAACTAGCTGTCCAAACACTAGCGGGTACACAGCAAGTGCATAATAAACGGTGGCCATCATTCGATTACAAAGCAGGCGGCCTGGCCTGACGGGGGAGGCGTGATGGATACGGCACGGACGGCGGGCGCGTGTTTACGCACGAGCTGGCGAGGCCGACAGTGCGCAGGTAAATCCACTTTATAGGCTCACAGCTGGTAGGAGATAGGGAGAAAGAGAAAAGGCGAGAAACTGGGAAAATCCCTCAGGAGACAGACTTCGCCGGAGCTCGCAGTGCGGCTGGCTGGCAGATCCAGCCACGGGGGATGCTGCCCCGCCCTGCCACGGTCCGCGCGGACGCCCCCGGGGCCCAGGCTGGGAGGCACTTGGGGGTCGCCGCTCAGGCTGCATGTTCTCCTGGCCTCCCTCCCTCCGTTGCAAACACACCCCAGTCTATTCTAACCCAGCAGCCGGGGCAATTTCTTAAAAAACATCCACTGAGTCACTGACTCCCCATCACACTCAGAATAAAACCCCATGAGGCCCAGCCGACCTCATCACGTGCTTCACCCCTCATTCCCTTGCTCCCTCGCTCCAGTTACCCTGGCCTTTTTCCTGTCTCCACCCCAGGGCCTTTGCACGTGCAGTTCTCTCTGCGGGGGGGGGGGGCGATCTCCCTGGGTGGCTCGTCCCAAGTGCACCCACACCTCTCCCCCTCACTCTGCACCTCTCCTGCCCCGCCTTGGCCACGAGGGGAACGCAGTGTAAGATCAGGATCCTGGATTATCCCGGCTCTGGGACCAGCTCTGCCTCTGCTGCCTTATCTGTGCCGTGGGGCGAACGATGGCCCTACCTGGCTGGGTGGTTTGAGGACTGCAAGGCACCCAGAAAGCACCTGGCACGCGGGAAGCACTGAGTGTCAGCTTCTACGAGAAACGCCTTCTCTGTTAAATTGCTCGCCCGTTCCTTGCCGGTTTCCCGGCACCAGCAAGAAAGCCCCACGAGAGGGCCCCTGTTTGTCTCGTGGACGCTAAGTCCATGGTGGTCGACGCCCCACCTGGCAGCTCTCAGCTAACATTTGGAGAAGGCATCCATCCCCATCGAATGCCCGCTCGCCAGGGTGCTCGTCTCTCCACAGAGGCCAGAGGAGAGCACGGTGTGATTGTCAAGTGAAGGGTCTTTCAAAAAGTAAACAGTGGTAGCCCTGGGCATTGATCCCTGAGAAACGAAGACTTAATGTTCGCAAAATACCTGTGCGTGAGTGTTCATAGCAGCTATACTTGCAACAGCCAACAACTGGGAGCAACTCAGATGTTCTTCAACAGGCGAATGGTTAACCTGACCATGGTGGCTTCACACCTGGAGCACTACGCAGCAACGAAAAAGGATGTGCTACTGATATTACAGCAACCTGGCTACATCTTCCGAGGATCACGCTGAGTGGGAAAAGCCAATCTCCAAAGGTTGCATACCGCTTGGTTCCACTTACGTAACATTCTTGAGATGACAAAATTGTGGAGATGGGGAACAGATCAGTGGTTGTCAGGGCTGAGGGGGGCGGGTAAGGCTATCCAAGGGCAGAAGAAGGGGTCCTTGTGATGGGACTGCTGTGTCCCAACCCTGGTGGCCACACACATCTGCACATGTGACAAAACTGCACAGAACTAAACACACGCATACTCACGCTCAAGCGAGCGCATGCGCAGCTGGGGAGATGTGAATGAGGTTGATGTTTGTAATAAATGTCAACTGCTGGCTATGGCGCTGTGCTGTAGTTATGTAAGATGTTTCCGTCGGGGGAAGCTCGGTGATGTGTTCATGGGATCTCTCTGTGTTTCTTACAACCGCATGCTAACCAACAATGATGCCAAAATAAAAAGTTTTTGTTTTGTTTTTTTTAAAAAAGGGAACTGTCTGGGAGAGCCCCGCCCCCCTCTGTCACTAGGATCACCCTGGCAGCGCCCAGCGCCAGCAGCCTTAAGCGATCCCTAGGGCACAGCCCAGGCCTGGCACTGGGAGGGGGTTCGCTGCAGGGGGAGGGAAAAGCCGAAACAGAAGCCGCTTCCCTCCCTCCCAGCCTCCCCCGTCTCCCGAGCACAGCATCTGCCATCTGGCTGCTGCCGCCAGCCAAATGAAACCATCGCGCGGCTGTCATCTCTCGACTTGCAGGTCTGGCTCCCAGGTTTGAAGATTAAATTCTAAACACGTCATTTAAAATTTAGAAATGAAGAAAGAGGATTTTAAGTACCCTGGAAGCACGGGCCCCTATTGTCTTCCTCACGGAAGTCAGCAAAGAACCTCCAACCTCTTTCCTAGGGGCACGCAAGACCCGGGGAGGGAGAGCAGTGTGAGTGTTCCCAGTGTGAGGTCTCGCTCTGTCCTCAATGCCATCCAATGTCCTCAATACAATGTATCCAAGTACCATGTATTGCCGATGTAGAGTATCCTTGCAAACTGTCACTGCACCCCCAATACAATCAAGTATGTCCAATACAATGTATCCACGTATCATGTATTGCCGATGTAGAGTATCCTTGCAAACTGTCACTGCACCCCCAATACAATCAAGTATGTCCAATACAATGTATCCAAGTACCATGTATTGCCGATGTAGAGTATCCTTGCAAACTGTCACTGCACCCCCAATACAATCAAGTATGTCCAATACAATGTATCCAAGTATCATGTATTGCCAATGTAGAGTATCCTTGCAAACTGTCACTGCACCCCCAATACAATCAAGTATGTCCAATACAATGTATCCACGTATCATGTATTGCCGATGTAGAGTATCCTTGCAAACTGTCACTGCACCCCTGTAACTGAGCATGTCCAATACAATGTATAAAGTGACCTTATATCCTCAAGACAAAGTATCATTGTAAAGTATCAATACATCACTCCTAACAAGACAACTGCAAACTCCACTGCCAGTGACCGCCTCAGCTACAGAAGAGTGAGGAGCCCCAGGGATCTCTGAGCCACGTGGGTGTCTCTGGCGAAGAACGTCCTCACGTCTTCTCAGGAACACTGAACTGGAGTTGGTATGTGACAGAGTGCCCGGAAGGGAGGCCTTGCTTAGATGGTGTGGTCAGGGACAGCTTCTCTGAGGAGGTGACCTTGAAGCCGAGACCTGAAGGATGAGGGGAGCTGGCAGAACACTCCTGAGCAAACGGCAGCAAGTGCAAATGCCCTGGGGTAGGGGCAGGAATGTTTGTCTCTTCCAAGGGAAGGAAAGCCTGTTTCCAGGCATAGGAGGGGGATGCGGTTGCTGTGGGGCTGGGCAGACTTGCACGGAGAGTTGCTAGGGATGGCTGCGTGCGTGTATCCGAGGAAAACGCAGCACGGATAATGGGATAATGTGAGTTTGAAAATGATTCAGGAATCTTTTTCCAATGTGATTCTCCAAAGAAGGCCACGCATCAGAACTGCTGTGGAGCAGCACGGGAGCTCCCCGTCCAAAAGGCCAAACCAACTCCTCTCGGCGGTGGGTGCAGGGACCTGCAGCAGCAAATTGCCTGCACGCTCCCCGCTGCAGACTGACAGACCGCGGCAGGCGTTCACTCCTTTAGTGGAGGAACCGTTAGTTCAAATAAACCCTTACGTTGAGGCCCAGGATGTAAAAGCGACTGCTAGAGCCTAATACTTAAATTGATTATGGAGGAAGCGGGAGGTCACCCGGCACCTTGAGTGGCTCAGAGATCCCTGGCGTGATGAGGGCTGTGAATGACCCAGGGAGGAACCCTGGGAGAAAACTAAGCCCTGATGCTGGGTGTCTGGGGCCTGGGGGGCTTGGAAGCCCCTGAAATGGGTCAAACGAGAAGAAGACGGGACCAGAGGGGGGAAAGGAGTTGCCCAGGGTCACAGAGCAACTGGGCAAAGCTGGTGAGAGCCGGAGCCTGTTCAGCCCCTCGGGTACAGGCTGCCCACCCGGTCAGGGTGAGGGTCGCGGTGGCTGGGACCTTGCCCGTCTTTGCGAGGTGAGACCAGTCCACAGCGCAGAGCCTGGTTCTTACTGCAAGCCCCAGGCAACCCTGGTGGCATCAGTGAATGGCGAAAATGACTTCTGCCGGTCAGACGCTCAGACGCGCCAGCAGGGACACTCGCAGCCACCGCCCACGAGTGACAGAGGAAGAGACAGGCAGGAGCGTGAACCGCCGGCCCACACCCAGATGGCTGTACCCAGCGCGGCTTTAGGGCCGAGGTTGTGGCTCTTATTGGGGATTTTGCCCCCCAGGGGACATCGGATGACATCCGGAAACATTTGTGGTCGTCACAACTGGGAAGGGGCGTCACTGGCACCTGGTGGGTGAGGGGATGTGGCTGAACATCCCACCCGGCACAGGCAAGTCCCGCACAGAAAGGAATTACCCAGCCCGAACGCCCACAGTGCCCAGGTGGAGAAACTCCGGGTCACACAAGACAGGGACCAGTACCTAAAGCGCAGTGCTGGTCCACAGGGCCCGCTCCGTGACCACAGCCAGGCACAGCCGACCTAGCCAGGCCCCAGGATGAAGACAGCAGCAAGGACTCAAGTCACACACGACTGGTTTACAGAATAACGAACCACCTAGTCTAAAATTTTCATTCGAAAGCAAACAATTAGGGAAAGGTGCTTGTTCATGTCACACTTGGATGGAAAATTTCTGAAGGCTGGAGCTGCAGCTACCCTGGTCACCGAGGCATTGCTCATGCCAGGCACACAGGGGCTTCATAAATGCTTGTGAAATGAATGCGTGAGGGAGGGAAAGTGAGGGAGAGTAGTTAGTCTGTGCGAGGACCTACCCGTTGCTCCACAGGCTCTTCCCTGAGGAAGGAGGATGAAAACCAGCCTCGTGGGGTCCGGGTCAGTAGCAGAGGGAAAGGGTTTGTGACGTGCAGGAGTCTAGGACAACCTCCGCCTCCACCTGTGCACAAGGGCGTCACTGGGAGCCTCTTTACCCAAATGCACAGGGGACCCCAGCAGCTCAGGCCCTCACGAAACCAAGTACTTTCATTCGATCTTTGCAAAGAGCTGAAATGGTCCCAGGCGGCCTGGAGGGTGGCCCCAGAATTGCAAAGCTGTGTTCTCTGGCTGGCAGCTCTGCATGGCGATGGCTATAGATGGGCTTTCCCGAAGCCCCAGGCCCAGGGACTGGGTGTCTCACACACCCAGTGTGCTGCCCAGGGCTGGGTGTAGGGAAGGGGTCTGAGGGGTCTGGCTGTGTCCAAGCCAGCAGCAAAGCGAGAGGTTGCTTAGTGATTGATTAGCGATGTCTGCCCTGAGCACCAGCGGGGCAGGTGTGGGACACGCAGCCCTGTTTGTTCCTGGCTTCTCCACTGTGCTCCATCCACTCTGGCTGAACAACCGCAGGTGGCAACCAGAAACCCCAACCTCCATCGCGGCCACCAGCACCCACCACGCCCCCAAGCCAGCCACCTGCCTGAGATCCCCAGGCCGCCCTCGCCCTGCCAGGGACAGAGCCCTGCCTAGGCACCTAGGGCAGTGTGCAAGCTGCCTGAACCCGTCCCAACCCTGCAATCTGCGGGTGACAGTGAGAAGCTCTCCAGGGTTTTTCTCTTCCTGACACGATGGTGAAAACGATGAGGGACAGCTTGAGACTGCCAGCGCTGCCCTGTACCTGGGCAGTCCCGGCAACAAGAAGGGAAGGGGACCGCCCAGAACTGTCATTTAAAAAACTTATTTTGAGATAATTGTGGTTTCCTGTACAGTTGTAAGACACAGTGGAGATCACCCAACATCCAGTTCCCCCATGGTAGCCTCTTGCAAACTCTACTATTCACAGTGTGGTTCTCCCAGATGAACTAGAAGCTTCTGCTTTTTAGCGGTCCTCATTCTCCAGGTAAGGGTCCTGGGACCCAGCCAGTCCCTCCTCACGGTGACACAGCCAGCTGGGAACTGGGCATGGTCACCACCCATCTCTTAACAGACCCCCGAGCAGCTGGGCTTCTCCCCTCTGCCTGGGCTTCTCCCCCCCAGGTCCTCCCACAGATGTTCCTCATCCTTCAAGTCTTGGCAGACGGGTCGGGGAGGCCTTCTCAGAGCCCCGCAGCTCGGCCTCAGGGGCACCTGGCAGGATGGGAGTGGCCCTTTAACAGACCAACCCTGCCTGTGGGCTTGGCAGACGGGTCGGGGAGCCCCTCCCCCTCAAAGTAAACAGTCACGCGACCCTGCCCCCTGCCTCCCCCAAGGAGAGCTCGAGCTCCCTGAGGGCAGGCCCAGGTCCATCCGTCCATCACCCATCAGCCCGTCCAGCCCCTTCGGAGCTCTGAGACCTGACAGATGAACAGGCAACGGCGGCTCCCGCACACCAGGCCCCAGCCCTCCCACCCCCCAACCATCCGAGTGCAGGTCCGCACACGCTGCATTTAACGAAAGGTTACACTGTAGCAAACGCTCCGGGCGGGAGTGACAGCTGCCCGGGTATCTTCCTGGTGCTCAAGGCAGACCAGCTCCGCCTCCTGGGCCTGACCCCAGCCAAGCTATTCTCTCAGAGCCTCCGTGTTTTCATCCATAAAACGGGGGAACGACGGCCAGCTCCCCTTGCAAACCTGAGCATGAGGTCCCGGTCCTGGGTCTTCCTGGCGAGTCAGCCACTCGCCCCCAGTCGGTCCCCCAGGCCCAGCCTCCGGCTGCCCTAAAGAGAGCAGCTTCCCCGGCGACACCCCGCACGCCTGGGAGACGACAGGACCGCCCGACGGGGAGGCACGGCTGCGCCGACCGGCTGTGACCCACGCCTCCCCGTTTTTTTGTTTTTCGATTTAAAAAAAAATCCCGCAAACAGCACCCACTCCCTATCCGGAGCGCCTGCGTCCCCACTGCCAGCAGAAACCAACTCTTCCTGGAGGAAGGAAAGTTCAACCGGCGAGCTATAAATATTTCTGCGAGCGCCTGCGGGGCTCGGTGCTTCTCGCGAGCACCGCTGAAAGGAAGGCAGCGCGCCAGATTTTTTCGAATTATAAATAGATGTTGTCTCCACCCCACATCTGTTTTGCTGACAATGAGCAGCACTTCGCCTCCTAAGTAAGGCAGCGCCAAGACCATCTTGCAACTCCGGCTTCTCCAACTCTTCAGGAAAAGCAAGCAGCGGCCAGAATCAGGCCTCCATCTGAGCTTCGGGAACAGACTTTTCTCGGTGTCGGTCTCAAGCCACGGGCTCGGAGGCATATGTGTCCTCGCGCCCTCCCGTCAGCTCGGCTCGCCCCGGGCAGGCGCAGCTGCTGCAGGGGAGGACGACGCCCACGCTCTGTAGAGGGAAGACACAGAGACAGACACACCACATTATGAGAAATTGCGAAACAAAAAACAAAAAAAGCCTCCGTGCCAAGCAAGAGTGCATCTGAGACGCCAAGACGGCGGCTTTTGAGGGAACACAGTGCACTGCCACCATCCCTGTGCCATGCTGGCTCGGGGACGGTTATCGCGAAATCATTCTCCTTTAACTGCTCCAGACTAGACCAATTACAGCCACCTCGCCCGCCGTCGGATCCAGCGTTAAGTAGCCACCCTTCCCGAGGGACCTTTCGCCCGGGAATGGGCGGAAGCAGCCTGTCGCTGAAAACTTGGTGAGCGCTGTTTTGCCTCTGTGATTTATGTTGCTGTTTCGTATTAAGGCTCGGCTCCCCTTCCCCCCAAATAAATTCAGTCTGAAATTTCATCTAAAGATGTTATAATATATGACAGCAGGAGAGAGAAACCTCAATGATAGTACAACTAAAATAATCACACTCACAACAACTTGTTCTCTGGGGTTCGCTCCAGGGGACACCAAGGAGACTCAGAGCCCGCAGACTCGCTCAGGGCACATCAGATGGCTCTTATACAACCCCTCTGTAGCGTCTGCTTCGGAGCTGAGTAAAAAGATCAGGCTAAAAGCCAGGCAGGCCTAGAAGTCCTTCCGTCCCAGGAGGCGTCCCTCACCCAGATGCCGCAAGAGTGATACTGGCAGGACGGGTTACACGTCACCAGAAACAGGATGACAGGCTGGATCCCGGAGACATCTGCCAGCGGCACCCTCCCCTCCCCTACCTTGTGCCCATACCACTAAAGCAATTGTGACTGCAGCGGCAGGTGAAATGCATGCTTTGCAAGCCAGGTCAGCAGCAACGACTATCGTGTTAGTGTGAGTAGGGCTGCTTGCGGGGTGGGGGTGGCCAGGGCAAGGTCATCTCTCCAGCCCACAGCCCTGACTCCAGAAAGGAGCTCTGGAGCCCTCAGCCCCCTGGCCTTACGAAACAGCTGCCTGGTAACTCAGAGCAGTTTCCCAAGCCCGCTGCGCTGCGGGGCTGCGCGACAGGGGAGGGGAGGTTGAGAGCCCCTTCCAGAGCGGAGAGGAAGCCCAGGGCGGGCCCACTTTCCTGGTGGCTGGCAGGACAATGCCTATTCAGCGTCTGCCTGATTCCTGTGGGGACGGGTGACTGGGGAGACCCTTCAGCCCCACAGCCTGCCCCCGTTTTCGGTTGGGGCACCATTGCCTTGTTGGCGGCGGGGCATTGGGTTCCTTTATTGCTTTTTTTTGGCGGACTTAAACCCCGGGCTTCCTTCAACCGGCCTTGTTTTTTTCTTGGGGAGGAGGCCACCTTTTGTTTTTTTTTTGTTTTTTGCCCACACCCCCCCCGGCCCCAACCCCAAAGGGGGGGGGGTTAGGAGGAGGGGGGGGAGTTTGGGGGGGGGGGTTGGGGGGTTTTTTTGCCCCCCCTCAGCGAGGAGAAAACCTGGAATGTCACTTTTCTCTCTCTCTCTGTTTTTTTTTGATGACGGTATAAAATTAGCACAGTCAAGTTAACGTGTTATGAACACAAGGCCGCTGCCAGGAGGCAGAGCGCCTTCGGTTAAGGGAGACTCGCTGGAGACCCGTTTAGGGAGGGGGAGGTCGAGTGGTCAGGGGGTGGCGTCTGCAACCCCCGCCCCAACCCCACCCCGCGCAGCGTAACCAGAGGGAAGAGCCATTTCCCCCGAGAACGTACATCTGCAGGACGTCTAGACAGTCATAAAGAGGACAATTAAAAGCAGAAAGAAAGCTGGGAGCTGCAGGCACTCGCCTCGCCAGGGCACCCCGGCCCGGCCCCGTGCTCACTGCCAGAGCAGGTGAAAAATCAGGAAAACAAGAAGAGCCGGTGTAGGCCAGGAGGAGGCCGGGGGAGCCTGGGCCGAAAGCAGTTTATGAGCAAGTGTTTTGAAATCCCACTTTAAATAAGCCGGTAAATGAATTCAACCTTGTCAGATCTCTCTCCCCTCACGCAGACCAAATATTCCGCTGGCGTGCTGTCTAGACACAGATAACAAAGGACTTTTTACAGCGCGCAGAGACGCGCTGACAAAGTAGCCATTTAAAGATGCAGTTTGCTTTCTCCGTCTAAAACGATTTGTCAGATGGACTTAAATGAAAATGCTAAGTTGTCGGTCTGGTCTGGGGTCTGCTGGTGGACGGGGGGGAGGGGGCTGGCTGTTCCGGAGACCTGGAAACCGTCATCTGCGACTGGGCTGTCCTCCAGGTCGCTCTGAAAATAGGGCTGTGCGCGGCTGGCCAGCGTGCAATTCTCGCTCTTCTTGCTCTAAGGAGCGCCTGCTGCAATGCTTCCAGTAGCTGGTGGGGGCACTCCAAGGGGGGCGGTGTGTGTGGCAAAAAGGGTCAAACTAAAATGCATGGGGAAGTGTTCAAACTTGTCTCCACCTGCTTCTGGTGGAACACGCTCGTCACCTGGGACTTTGGGTTCTGCAGGTCCTGACCCCAGCCGTACAGAGGGTCACTGTAAAACCGCCGTCCTTCCTGGCCAGCAAAGAAGGGCAGTGTTCGAGGTGGGTCGGCCGCCAGGGTGAGCTCCTGGGGCACACTCAGGTGGCCCCAAACACCCTCTAAACTAGGGAGTGCCCCCCCCCAGCCAGACAGAGTTCAAAGAAGGGAAGAGCAGCACCCAGGGGCTCAGTACCGGTGTAGCGACCCCTCCCCACGTTACAGTCTGGGGCAGCCCACAGGGACGAGTCTCCTAAATGGGGTCTCTAGTAGTTTCTTCCCCTTGGGGCTGTCACTTGCTAGTGCAAGATCTGCTCCACCTGCCAGGTGTCCTGCGAGGGACCGCTCGTTCCACCGACCCCTGCCACCTTCTCCGCCAGGCTGCCGGCCAAACGGTGACCGCCTTTGGCTGCTTCCCTGTTATGGCAACTCCTATCTGAGACCCGTCTGCCCTCCCTCCCTCCCTTCTTGGCTCACATGTCTCGGAGTCCAGACATCAGAGCTAGACACACCCCGGGCTCCACCACTTTCAGGCCGGGTAGTCCAAGGCAAGTCACCTCTCTGAGCCTCAGTTTCCTCAACTGTGAAAAGGGGTCCGGACCACCTGTCCCAAAAGACTGCTGTGTGGACTAAAGGCCCTGGTGCCACCAGCCACTAGCACAGCGCCCCGCCGGCCTCTTGCACAGCGAGGCCCTGGGCAGGAGCCTCCCCCGCTGAGCCTGGCCACCCTCACCTGTGTGCGGGGTGACGGTGACCGGCCCGGCCACGTGCAATGAGGAGGAGGAGATGGCAGAGCGGACAGAGGAGCACAGCTCAGTGCTGGACCCACGGTGAGCACTCCATGAACAAATCATTGCTCAGCTCGGGGTCCCCCACCAAAACCAGGGCCGTCCACACCAAAGCACCGGGAAGGGCATCATGCCGCTGACATAAGCCCTAGAGAGCCTCTCCCAGCGGGTCCTCACGGCAGCCCCCAAACGGAAGGGGAGAGTTACAGGCTACATGTCGGAGGACCAGAGACTTGAGTCTCCCCTTTTTTTTATTTCTGGGTTTGACATGCTCATTGTTAATAACTGCTTTCTGGAAGGCTGCTCCTAATCTCCGCTCGTCCTGCAGTGAACAGCCCATGGGCTCTGCTGCCCGTGGGCAAAGCCTCTGGTTTGGCCCCAGACACGGAAGCGCAGGCTCTGGGAGAGACGCGTGGAGGCGGAGGAAATCGGGACTCTGAACGGTGTTCTCTCTTGCCCAGGGTTCACCTGGCGACTTCCTGTTGCTCGGGGTGGTCTCCTGGGCCTGGGGCCCGTCTGAGCCCTGCAGTGATGGCATGTCAGAGGTCCACCTGCCATTTAACCCCCAAGGCCAGAGTGGATGGGACTTGCCCAGCGTGACCCAGCCAGGACCAGAAAGAACCAGTTACTCCTTGCATTTGCACATCACACCCGCTGCCGCTCCTGGTCTGGCGACCAGGGCAGACATTACTAATCAACCGCCACCCTCTTTCTCAAAGGGCCCTGCCCTGGCCTCAGGAGCTCCCTCTCCCCGGGGCCCCAGGAAGGCTCC